AAATCCCATCCCAAATCCCATCCATCCCATCCCATCGGAGCACCAGTTGCCAGCCCCATGGACCTGGCCGTGCAGGAAGGTCAACTTTCCTGGGAATTCCCATCCCCTCCCATCCCATGGATCCCATCCCATTATCCCATCCCATCCCATCCCATCCCATCCATCCCATCCCATCCATCCCATCCCATCCATCCCATCCCATCCCATCCATCCCATCCCATCCCAGCCCATCCCATGGATCCCATCCCATCCCCTCCCATCCCATGGATCCCATCGCATTATCCCATCCCATCCCATCCCATCCCAGCCAGCCCTTCCTCATCCCCGCCTGTCCCCGGCCGCACGGTGGCACAAGCTGCCAGGAATTCCCGTGCCACCAACGCTCCGGGGCTCCGGCGGTGCCGCTCCCTCCCCGAACCTCCGGAGCAGCCGGGAACTGCTGCCCAGAGGGATGGGTTATAGGGGATGGGATTTAGGGGATGGGTTGTTTTTAGGGGATGGTGTTTTAGGGGATGGATTTTTAGGGGACAGGATTTTAGGGGATGGGTTTTTAGGGGATGGGTTGTTTTTAGGGGACAGGATTTTAGGGGATGGGTTTTTAGGGGATGCGGTGCACAGGGCAGGGATGAAGTGAGGGAATGGGGGAGCCGAGGTGTGGGGCTGGTCTGAAGGAGCCCGAGAGGAGCTGGGGAGCTGTTGCTGTACCCTGGGATCCTCCTTTACCATCTGCACATCCCAGGAACAGGAGCAGGGACAGGGACAGAAGCGGGGACAGGAGCAGGAGCAGGGACAGAAGCGGGGACAGGAGCAGGAGCAGGGACAGAAGCGGGGACAGGAGCAGGGACAGGAGCAGGGACAGGAGCAGGGACAGGAGCAGGGACAGGGACAGAAGCGGGGACAGGAGCAGGAGCCGCCGCTCCCGGGAGGAGCCTGGGAGGGGAAAGGGCAGGAAAACATCCTGGGAATCCCCGCGGCACCGGGAATCCGCGGCAGGGCTGCCAAGCCAGCCTCGCCCAGCAGCGCGGAATTGCGAGGAATATTTGGAATATTTGGAATCCGGGAGAGCTGGGGCTGTTCTCCCTCGGCTGATGCTGCTGTGCCGACCCCCGGAGCTGCCGGGCATCACCTGGATGCTGCTCGCAGGTGAGGAGGGCTGGGCTGGGGGGTAAAAGGCTTAACCTGGAAGGTAAAGCTGTGTTTGTCCAGGGAGAGAGGAGACAAAAGGGATAAAAGCGGGATAAAGCGGGATAAAAGCGTGCTGCAGCCACGTCTGTAGCGGGGCCGGTAGATGTACTGACACAGAAATGTTATATTTGTTAATATCCGTGTTTGTGGTAACAATATTTGTGTTAAAAATTGATGTGTACAAATATTCGATGCTTTTAAAAGCACAGCTTTTATTGCAGTTAAAGTCGTGTGAGCGTTTTCACTCCTTAAATAATCCCTGGCTGCCCTGAAACACAAACCCAGGGAAAACAGGAGGGTTTGGGTCGAAAAGGACATTAAAGCTCATCCCATCCCACCCCCAGGCTGCTCCAAGCCCCGTCCAACCCGGCCTTGAGCACTTCCAGGGCTGGGGCAGCCACAGCTGATCCAAATGCACAAAGATTTCCAGGATGAACATCTGAAACAGAATTACACATTACCCTCCAGCCTGGTTTTGGGACGGTGTCAGTGAGCTCTGGGTCTGTGGGATGAGTTTTGGCCACTGCAGCTGCAAAATGTGGAGCATTTTCCCCTTTCCCTCAGCTCATTGTTCTGTTCTGTGTAAATAGTGTTTTCCCAGCAGAAAAAGGAAATTTTTCAGAGATTTTTTTTTTTCATAGAAAAAGATCTTTTAGTCCTTAAATTAAATTTAAATTAAATTTAAAAGTCTTTTAGTCATTAAATTAAAATTAAATTAAATTAAAAAGTCTTTTAGTCATTAAATTGTATTTTCTTCCTCCACATCTACAGTTTGAGGGCCAGGAAAGCATGAAAATAGCCGCCTTTCAAGGTTATGAGAGTGAGAAATGAAAACCACCTCATGAACTTGACTTTACCTGTGGGAGCAGCAGGAGTTTCCAGGTGCACAGGTGTTTATCAGGCCAGGAGCTGAGACACAACAAACACACAGAGCAAACACGGGCTGTGAGCATCCCTGGGCTCCCTGCCCTGCCCCTCTCCTCTTTCCTGGAATCCTCCCTGCTGGGACCTTCCCACAGCAGCTCTTCCCTGAGTCCCTGAGCCCAAAGGCAGGAATTCCGGGAGGATGGCTGCACCCTGCATGCCAGGAGCATGTGAGCACCTTCAGCCCCAAACAAGATCAGGAATTTGGTGGCTCTCCCACCCCTGGAAGTGTCCAAGGGCAGGTGAGCAGGGATCGGAGCAGCCTGCTCCAGTGGAAGGCAGAGCTGGAATTTTGAGCTCACTTCCCTCCCAAACCTTTCCAGGGTTCCATGAACTGGGAATTATTTTGTACCACTTGTTGTACTCCATGAATTTGGAATTATTTTGTTGTAGTTTTTGTTGTGGGATCTGGGTCTCCTCAGGGCTGAGCCCCTCTGGGACAGAGGACAGGGGCGTTTCCCTTATCTCAGTTCTGTTTCAAGAAAGATACTCCAAGAGGCTCCTTAGCTTCTTGTTTCTCTTCTTTATTAATATAGAATCTCTTCTTTATTAATATAGAATCTCTTCCTTATTAATATAGAATATCTTGTTTATTCATATAGAATATCTTGTTTATTCATATAGAGTATCTTGTTTATTCATATAGAATCTCTTGTTTATTAATATAGAATCTCTTGTTTATTAATATAGAATATCTTCTTTATTAATATAGAATCTCTTCTTTATTCATATAGAATCTCTTCTTTATTAATATAGAATATCTTGTTTATTCATATAGAATATCTTGTTTATTCATATAGAATATGTTTTTTATTAATATAGAATCAAAAGACTTGCCAGCTCTCCCCCGGATTTTCTGCACAAGTTTATCCTCCACAGCTTTGGCTCAAGTTGGCTTGAACAGCACAAAATGACCCCAGACTATGCAGCCTTTTTATGTTTATACTCATTCTTACCCAATTAACAACAGACACATAAATTATTTGTATTAATGACCCAATGACTCATCACCTGTGAGCTGCACTGTGACATTTTCTATCCAATCACCCAAAAACCTCTAGAAGAACATGAAGAAAGAAGGAAAAGAGACAACACCCTAAATCCTCCATCTTGCCTTCTGTTCTCTAAACTAGCTTATACTCTAAATTTTAATTTTTTCACCCAGTGGCTTTAGAAAACTCTCTCATTTATACACACTTTTAGCATTTCTATTTAACTTTAACCGTTTTTTTCAGGGTGTTGTATGAAATTCAGTGTTTTCTTGGGTGCCAGAGCCAGGTATCAGAGACAAGGGCTCGCTCTGTGCCTCAGACTCCAAAACTGAAATTGAAATTGAAATTGAAATTGATAATTGATAATTGAAATTGATAATTGAAATTGAAGTTGAAATTGAAATTGATAATTGATAATTGATAATTGAAATTGATAATTGAAATTTAAATTGATAATTGAAATTGAAATTGAAATTGAAATTGAAATTGATAATTGAAATTGATAATTGAAATTGAAATTGATAATTGAAATTGAAATTGAAATTGAAATTGAAATTGATAATTGAAATTGAAATTGAAATTGACATTGAAATTGAAAAAGCCGTGGAAATTGGGTGGGGATGTTAAAGCTGAGGCAGGAGGAGCTCATTGCCCTCCCCTGCCACGGGACACTTTTCCAGGAGCGATTTCTCCCATGCCCACCCCTGTCCTCGCCCCAGGGCTGCTGCTGCTGTTCCCTCCGGCTCTGGGAAGGGCAGGGCCCATCCGGAGAGCGGCTGCCGTGGGATCCTCGCTGCTGCTCCCCGGCCTGGATAACAACAGCCGCAGCGATTCCACACTCTGGGAATTCCTGAGCGGCGCCCGCAGCATCCTGCAGCAGCCCGGAGGAGCCCCCGGCCCCGATACCCGCCCGACCTACGCAGGACGAGCCCTTTTCCACACATCCGATGGATCTCTGCTGCTGGAGAACGTCCAGGAGAGCGACAGTGGCACCTACAGAGTGACTGTCGGAGGAGGGAAGAGCCTGGAAATCCAGCTGGAAGTGCTCCGTGAGTGGGGACCGTGGGACGGGGAGGGGTCCAGGCAGGATCCGGGTCCAAGAGGGGCTGGAGAAGGGATTTGAGCAGAGGCTGATGGGCCAGTCCCGAGCTGCTCTGCACCTGCCACGTGTGGAGACTTCACCAAGAGACCTTGGAGAGGTTCCCAACCTGTCCTGGGCCAGCAGATGTGGAAATGCTGCCCAGTGAGAGCTCCCAGGGGCCCGGCTGGGACACAGGGACGAGTTCCAGCCTGGAAAGGCAATTCCCTCCCTGTTTCCCACACCTCCATGCAGGGATGGAGGGAGGACAAAGGGATGAGGGAGTGACCGGCAGGATGATGGGGGGACTGGAACAGGAGGGATGAAGTAGGGGGTGATGGAGGGACTGGAACAGGAGGGATGAAGTAGGGGGTGATGGGGGCACTGCTGGGTTGCCGTGGGTCCCTCCCCCAGCGCTTTGCCAGGGGACACCGGGCAGGGCTGAGGTTTCTGGAGGAGCCACCGCCCCCCCAGGCCGGGCTGTTTGCCCTCCGCAGGCGCCACCGCAGGGATGAGAGGCTCTTGAAACGGCCCAGAGGTCCCTCCCCAGCAATTCCCTTAATTCACCCTGCCTTTCCCAGCCTCAGCAATCACTCCATGGCCACAATGCCACCGCAGCCCTTCAGCAGCCTCCCCTCCCAGCCACACACCCCAGCGGCAGCTGCTGCCCTCCCTGCTCTTGTCTCATTTCCTGACGCATTCCCAAGCGCTCCCGATTTACCCACATCCATTAAAAGCAGGGATTCGGCTGGATAAAGATCCAGCCCTGGAAAGCACAGGGATGGGCGTGCCAAGGGAAAGGCGGCTGTGGCTGATGCTGTGGTGGCAATTGCAGCCCGAGGGCACCTCGGGGATGCTCCAGGGATGCTGGCACAGGTGTCCAGATCAGCCCTGGATCCCTGGCAGTGCCCAAGGCCAGGCTGGATGGGGTTTTGGAGCAGCCTGGGACAGTGGGAGGTGTCCCTGCCATGGCAGGGGTGAGGTGGGATGAGCTTTAATGTCCCTTCCCACCCGACCCGTTCTGTGATTCTGAGTTCTCTGTTCCCTTCCCAGAGCCCGTGTCCCTCCCCCGGCTCTGGAGCAGCTCTCTCCTGGCCCGGGCCCCTGGGCAGCTCGTCTGTGAGGTGGCAGAGGGCAGAGTGGACAGCATCACCTGGAGGAAGGATGGGCAGCCCCTTGCCCCGGGCAGGGCTCCCCGGCTGTCCGGCAGCCGCAGCGTTCTGCACCTGAGCCCGGCCAAGAGATCCGACTGCGGCTCCTATTCCTGCAACGCCAGCAACGGGATCAGCTGGCAAGAAACCTCCCTGAAGGTCACCATCGAAGGTCTCAGCTCCCACCGCTCCTCCAGCCCTCCCCGGGGTGCCTCAGCGCCTCCATCCCACCCTCAGCCACTGTCACTGTGCCCAGAGGAGCTGCCCATACATCGTGGGAGCATCAGCAGCTCTGGTCCCTGCTCTGCATGCAGAGGACTCGGCCCTGAGGCACAGTCCTGGGCAGGAGATGTCCTGAGGCACAGTCCTGGGCAGGAGATGTCCTGAGGCACAGTCCTGGGCAGGAGATGTCCTGAGGCACAATCCTGGGCACATTGGCCATTCCCTGCTGGGACAGGCCAGGGCGATGCTGAGCAGGGGCAGGAGGGTGGCCGGGAAGCCTGAGGGAGCTCCCAGCCCAGGCTGGGCATTACAAGGGGAGAATTTGGCCACCAGCTGGCAAATAAATGGGATCTGTTCTGGTGATGGAGCCAGCAGAGCCGGGGGGCTGGTCCTGCTGATGTCCCTGCCCTCGGGGTCGCTCTGTTCCAGGTCTCTCCCATCGCCTGAAGATCACCCTGAGGATTGCGGTGGTCGCCGTGGTCTTCGCTGTCATCTCGGCCTGGGGATTAATTATCCCCGTCTGCCAGTCCGAAAAGCTCAGGATAAGTGAGTTAGGGGGGAACAGGACCCCGTTTCCCTGCTCTGGTGGGGGAGAGCGAGGAGCACTGCTCTGGGAAGCGCCAGATGCTGGGATTTCCTCCAGCATCCGGGTGGGGATGGGCTGCACCCCCTGAGGAAGGGGGGACGGCTGGCAGGGGACTCCAGGGGTCACAGCAGTCACCCCCCTCTGCTCTGGTTTGTAGGGGGGGAGCTCTGGAGGTGGCTCAGCTCCTACACCTGCGGGCTGGTGTGCATCGCCTGCGTCCTGGATGGCACCGCCGGCATCCTCTGGATGTGGGAGGAAGGTGGGAGGGGGCTGTGGGGAGGGGGACAGAGCCCAGGGGAGGTGCAGAGCCCTGTGGGGCCCAGGGAGGAAGGCAGTGAGGGGCAGGGGAGCCACGCCATGGAATGAGGGGGCCAGACCCATCTGGGGCAATCCATGATCCATGTGGGATCTCCATGTGGGATCACCACGCTCATCACACACCCCCCTGCACAATTAATAGAGATAATTATTTTAACTTTCCCAGAGCCCTTTCCCAGGCTGAGTCCCAGCAGGACAGTAAATGGTCAGAGGATGGAGAGGCTGCAGGGAAAGGCTGGGAGTCGGAGGAGGGTGGGGAAGGGATGTGATGCAGAACCATGAAGGGGGTGGGCGCTGGAACCTCAGGCTCTCTGCCTTGTCCTGTTGTCTCTCAGGCCCTTCTGTGGCTGTCATACTGCCTGAGATCACCCTCAGCTATCTCACCGTGGTCACCTTCCTGGTTGCCACCACCGTGATTTTCCAGCCCAATGATTTCAGCCATCCGAAGAGCAAAAAAGGTGAGCGGTGCCACCAAGGATGGACCAAACTGCTCCACTGGGGGTTATTCTGCCCAAAACATCACCCCCAACTTGTGAAAATGAGAACTCAGTGCTGAGCTCGGGCTGGGTGAGGCCAGCCCCACAGCCACACCTCTGGACACTCATCCTCACCCCGTTCCCCCGCAGCTCAGCGCACCATGGGCTACGCCGCGCCGGGGGCCGTGGTGGTCGTGGTGCTGAGCAGTGCCTTCCTCATCAGGAGCTCCTACCAGCGCCACGGTGAGCACAGCTCCTGCAGGGACCTCCCCGAGGCCTCCTGGGACCCCCACGTCCCTTCCACACCTCCAAAGACAAACCCAACCAACCGGGAGTTTTGGGGAAGTGAAACCTTGGCAGCAGCAAAGTTCAATCTCAGCATCCTCCTGTTTAATTTTCTGTCTTTTGTGTGTTTGTGCTTTCACGGTGGCAACCTGCCTTCCTCCTTTCCTGGCCCCTGCTGTTCTCTCCTGCTGCAGAAGAAGGATGCTCGGAGTTCCTGGATGTCACTGTCCTGGTGGCCAGCACGGCGGCCGTGTCGGCCCTGCCGCTCCTCGCCATCGGCCTCTGCTGTGAGTCTGCTCCTCCATCCTCTTCCTCAGCCCCTCCCCATGCTCCGGGGTCCCCACACCATCCAGCAGGCACAGGAATCCTTTAAAAGCGCTTTATTTGGCTCTTGTGAAGCCAGTGGTTGCCACTGAGTGTTTCCCTTCCCTGGGAAGCCGCAGGGGCTGTGTCCCAAACACAGCTCCCCGTGCTTGGTGCCTCTCACACCTCCTGATCTGGGGACAGATTTTGTCTTTTGCAGATCACAAAACCCAGGGCAGGTGCAAGGACAGCGATGTCTGTTGGATGGACAAAGCTGGGTAGGTCCCTTGTTCCTATTTTCCACATAAATTCCTATTTTCCTCATAAATTTCTATTTTCCACATAAATTCCTATTTTCCACATGAATTTGTACAGCTTGAAGAGAAGGAAGCAGGATATGGAAACTACCCTGTGTTCTAGTTTAACACCCAGCCCAGCACTGGCCTCCAGCCCTGGGCTCTTGCTGGGTTCAGGGGGGGGCTCTGGTGGGGTCCCCACCCAGCAAAGCACGTGAGAGCCCACCCAAAACTCCTCCTTATGGCCTCATCCTCAAGCTTTTAAACCTTAATTCCTCCTGGATTCATGGATTAACAGAATGGTTTGGGTGGAAAGGGAATTCTTTCCCTTTAAAAGATTATCCCATTCCACCCCAGCCATGGCAGGGACACCTCCCACTGTCCCAGGCTGCTCCAGCCCCAATGTCCAGCCTTGCCTTGGGCACTGCCAGGGATCCAGGGGCAGCCCCAGCTGCTCTGGGCACCTGTGCCAGGGGCTCCCACCCTGCCAGGGAAGTTTTGGTGCTCAGAATTTCCCCCTCCTCTTCCTTCCAGGTCCTTTGAGATGTCTCAGCCTGGCACCAAGGACACCGCTCCCAGCTGAGCTCCATCTCGGGGTGTCTCTCACTTCCCCCAGGTTTAGTGGGCTCAGGGCTCTCAGTTTTGGTTCCTCTATGATCCTCATAATAAATGTCCATGAAATTAACCTGATTCTGCCTTTTATTTTTTTATAAAACAGACCCGGGGGGGGGCAAGTGCGCATTTCCCCCTTTCTTCCTCCAGAAAACCAAAGCCTGAAGTAGAGAAGCTCCTTTAGCAGCAGCTGCAGGAGTATCTCACTGCTTTATCTTTACTTAATATTTGTTTACAGCAATTTAGAGCTGTATGTGTAAGATTTACCTGGGAGTAGCATGAAATCCTTTTCTGTGAGTAACCCTGTAGTAATTTGAAATAGATTCTGGCTTTTCCAGTAGTAAAGGAGGAGGAAGGCCAGGAAGGCACAACACCCGGGGTGGGAGGAGGTGGATGCTGTCAGCAGCTCTTCCCCAGCTCCAGCCCAGGGTGTCTGACACACTCTGGGATTGATTTACTCCGGGCAGGACTCAGCTCATGCTCAGCCTGTGCCAGGGGCTGTTTTTCCCGGCTCTCACAATGCACTGAGGTGTTTCCTGCAGGCTTTTCCAGCCTCAAACAGCTGCTGAGCACAGCCCTGCACCTCCAGGTGAACCCCAAACCTCCCCAAAAAGCCCCCGGGGCAGCCCTGACGCAGCTCCTTGGGCAGCAGCTCCTCCCTGCCAGGCCCCCGTGACTCAGGGAACGGGGCCAGGTTAAAAATACCCTCCCCAGATTTGGAGCAGGGCTCTGGGCTGTTCCCAAGCCCAGCCAGGCCCCTGGGGCTGTCACTGCCACAGCAGCAGGGGAGGAGGGATGGGGATGCAGGAACCCCACAAGGGGAGCAAGGGCTGGCCTCAAGAGCAGGGGATCCTCTCCTGCTCCTGGGATGACCTCAGGGTGCTCCTGGGGTGATCTGGGGTGACCTCAGGGTGCTCCTGTCCCCAGTTTGCTCTGCTCATGCTGCAGCTGAGGTTCTGCACCTCCAAGTGAGGTTCTGAGAGCGAAGGGGGAGAAAAGCAGCTCAGTTTGTTTGCAGAAAGGGCACTGACTCCTCCACATTCTCCTGCTGGGCTCTGTTCTCTGCAGCACGGACAGACAGCAGGACAGTTCTCCTTGGCTTTATTATAGTTCATGTTTTTTAGCCAGCTGAGGCAAAGGAGTTCCCTGCACTGTGGGTTTTGGTTTATTTTTCCTTTTTCTCGGATCTGTTCGAACCTGCTCTGGACTGAAACCCCAGGAAAACACCAGGAGCTCACAGCTGTGACCCCCCAGGGCCTGGGACTGAGCAGGCTGAGGTCACCCCATGACAAGGACTTGCTGAATTTGCCACCCCTTCAGAACTGTGAGAGGTTTTATTAATATTAGTCATTTTTCATGCTTGTGAATGCTCTGCTTGTTAAATAAACAAAATAAAGTAAATAAAGCTTTTACACTTTTCTCCAAGGAAATCTTTTCCCAAACCAGTTGGGGGAGGGGCTGCTTGAATTTGCTTTCTGGAAGGAATCCATTCAGAGATTTCTTTTTTTGCCCTAAGCCAGGGCCCTCCCGGAGCCAGGGATGAATCCAGCATTCCCAGATCTGCCACACCCCACCAGGGGCTGCTTCCAGCCCCACTGCCCACCCCCAAACACGACAGCAAAACCTTCTGGGGTAACACACACTCTTTGTTAGCAACAACAGACTCCAACAAACCTCAGAGTCTCCAAAAGCATTCACAGACAATTCCCCAAAACACTTAGGAAAGTATTTCTTGTAGAACATCTGGCTACGTTTTACACCCTCAAGTGCAACAGAGAACGTGACAACGGGGCTGCAATCTCATTTATCCCACCCAAACTCCTCAGCTTCCTCTAAGGGCTCCACGAAACCCCCGGCTGAGATGGCCCCTCAGTGTCCCACAGTTTTCCAGTTTGCCTTTGAGAGGTCCCCAGCCTGCTCCAGAGGTGGGCACTGGCTCAGGGAGGGCCCTGGGATCAGACTAAAAGGGGATGCAAATGTGCCAGGTTGACCAACAGTGGGGTCCAGCACCTGGCACAGACCCCAGTGCTCTCCAGACTCGGCTGAAGGAGCAGCATCCCCTGCACAGCAAAGGCCAGGAGAGCCCTGCAGAGACAGCACGGGGAGGGAGGGGACAGTGGGGACAGCAGGGACAGCAGGGGAGAACAGGGACAGGAGGGACAGCAGGCATAGCAGAGGACAGCAGGGACAGGAGCAGGGACAGCTGGAACAGGAGCAGGGAGAGCAGGGATAGCAGGGACAGCAGGGACAGGAGCAGGGAGAGCAGGGAGAGCAGGGATAGCAGGGACAGCAGGGACAGCAGGGACAGGAGCAGGGAGAGCAGGGACAGCAGGGGACAGCAGGGGACAGCAGGGGACAGGAGCAGAGCTCCCTGGATGCAGCCAGTCAGGGCTGATGTCACCCGCAGGAGCAGCAAACGGGAAGGACAAGCTGGCACCAGCATGGTGCTGGGAAGAGGAGGGGATGTCCCCAGGGATGTCCCCAGGGGTGTCCCCAGGGATGTCCCCAGATGCTGCAGAGCCCAGGGGGGAGGAGATGGGCTCGGGGGCATCCCCTCCTCAGCTGGCTGCAGGATTTCCCTGGGATCTGCTTTCAGAAACTGAACTCTCTGCAGAGCTGTGAGCCCATCGAGGCCCCTGGAGGAAGCCAGGAGGATGGAGGGGGGAGCAGGAACATCCCTTTCCCCAGGGATGCACAACAGGAAGAGCAGGACAACACAGAAAGAGTCCAAACTGAAGCTTTCCAAAAAAATATTTGCAGGTTCTGGCAGCTTGAACACTTGACAGGTGAGCCCAGGAGAGGCTGGGATGGGACACCCGGCACTCCCAGAGGATCCACCACCAGGGAGGGGCAGCAGCTGAGCCAGCTCTACCTGCAGGGAGAAGAGAGGGCCCCACATGAGCCATGTCCTGGGCACTTGGACTCCTCCAGGGCCTCAGCCAGCTCAGAGTGTCCCACGCTGGCAGCACCAGGAGGTCTGGACTTCTGCCCTGCTCCAAATTCCAGGAGCTACCTGGGCCAGTTTATCTCTGGCTGGAGTTCCCTGGGATCTGACTGCACAAGACACCTGAGAGCTCCTTGTTTGTAACCAGACACCTCACAGGATGGGTTTCCCATCCCAAGGGACTCACATCCTCATCCTCACCCTCCAGGAAGCTCCAGTGAACAGCCTGAGTGTGTTTGTGGTCACAGAGAGGGAGTGATTTCTGAGAAAACCTCGAGAACCACTTGCTTCCCAGAAATCTCCAGAGTATTTAAAAGCCCACCCATTAGTCAGAGCTAAGATAAGCAGGAGTGTCAGGCTCTGGGTAGAGGAATCAGGAATACTTCCAGAGTGGGGATTAAATAGAGGGGACAGCAAACCCTTTGAACCTCCACGGTGGGGGAGCAGCCTCTTACCAGAGAGGCTGGAATAGCCCCCCGAGCTCTCCCACTTCTCCAGCTCACTCAGATCCAGCCAAGGATAAATTTGGGCTTTTAGAGAAAAAATTTTGGCTGGAGCAAGGGGGCCACCCCAAGAGGGGACTGGAGACATCTTACCAACAGTTGTCACATGAGTCCTCCTTTCTCTGCCACCAGACAAAGACACCTGCGGACAAAGCAGCAGCATCAGAGAATCCCAGAAGCATTTGGGATGGAGGGACCTTCAAAGCCCATCCAGTTCCAACCCCTGCCATGGTCAGCAACACCTTCCACTAGCCCAGGCTGCTCAGAGTCCCACCATCATCATCATCATCATCATCATCATCAAGGGGGGCAAGCATCACCTCCCTGGACTGGAAACAGCAGCTGTGACAAAGCCCAGCCCTTGCCCACAGGATGCCAGGGTGGGAGAGCCAGGTCCTGGCAGGGATGTGCCACATGGGACCCTCTCACCCACGTCTGGTGGCCATGGCACCCACCAGGCAGAAACAGGGCAAAGAGTCACCCCAGCACCCACCTGCGAGCATGCCGATGATGACACAGGCCAGGACCACAGGCAGCACCACGTTGGCAGAGTCTGCAGAGGGGAGAACCCAGAGCCTCTGCACCAGAGCAAATTGAATTTAACCCAGCCAAACCTGCTCAGCACAGGCAGGGAGAGAGAATCCCCTTCGTGGGGCTGTGCCCCTGGTTCTCTCCCGGGCACGGGGAGGGAATGCACTCACGGTGGACTTTGAGCAGGAAGGAGGTCTCGTTTTGGCTCACGGCGTTCCTCACCGCACACGTGTAGTAGCCGCTGTCGCTGATGGACACCCGCAGGATGTAGAGCGTGGTGTTCCTCACCAGCTGGATTCGATCACTTTCCGGGAGCGGCTCCCCGTTCTTCGTCCACCAGAAGGCGTCTGCCTTCCCATCCAGCAAGTGGCAAACCAGTTTGGTGTTGCCTCCTGCCTTCACCAAGGAGCTGCCCTCGATTCTCGGCGGGGACAGCGGCTCTGGGAGAGGCAGAGGCAGCGTCAGCACTCAAACCCGTGCCAAGCCCGGCCCGCAGAGCAGGGCTGGCCGTGGCACCACTCACCCAGGACGTGCAGATGGAACCAGGCCGTGGTCTCCTCCTGGGTCTTGAGGCGGTAGAAGCTGCCGTCGTCCCCCTGCTGCAGCAACACCTGCAGCGACAGCGTGGACTCGTTGAAGGTGGCGCGGTGCTCGTAGAGCGGGGACACGCTGGGGGGCTGAGGGAAGGCATAGCTGAGGATGACCCCCTCCTCCGAGCCCACCCGGTACTCCCAGAGCACGGTGCCGCTGCCGCGCTGCACGGGCGCCGTCAGCAGCACGCTGCAGCCCACGGCCGACACCAGGCTCCCCACGGCCGGGCGCAGGTCGGCCGAGTAGCAGGGAGCAAGCGTGCGGGCTGCAAGAGAAAGCAGGAGTCACCCCACGGCCACGGGGAGCTGCTGCAGGAGCCCCTCGAGCCGCAGATTCACGGGGATTGTTTAGAGACTCATCAGTCGTGGAAGGGGTTGGGCGGGAAGGGACCTTGAAGATCAGCCAGGGCCATGGGCAGGGACACCTTCCCCTGCCCCAATTCCATCCAGCCTGGCCTTGGGCACTGCCAGGGATCCAGGGGCTGCTCTGGGCACCTGTGCCAGGGCCTGCTCACCCTGCCAGGGAACAATTCCTGCCCAGTCTAACACTGGGAGCCATTCCCTGTGTGCTGTCCCTCCATCCCTTGTCCCCAGGCCCTCTCCAGCTCTCCTGGAGCCC